TCAGTATTTATTATCAATTTAATTATTTATAAAATGAGGGTAAAGCCAACTTAAAAGAGCTGTCATGAGGACTATGTGAGATAATATAGGTGGGTGTAGTGTGGTAAATGGTCTTTAACTTGAGTCCTCTTCTTCTCAGTGCAGTGTACTACTCTAAATAGTACTTTGTGCCATCACGATTTGGTATGTGAACGTATGAATGGACGTTAAATGAAGCCTTTAAGTTTGGCTTTGTGGGCCGCAAGAAAAGTATAAATAAAGACCTTCCAGTTAGGAGAAGAGCTTTGATAATCAGAATTTTAATTAAATGGACATTGACTTGGATAACAATTATATCCAACCTTTGTTTGTTGTTTTTATATTGCTATGATGCAGCCAGGAAATTAAAAGATGAATTGCTTTGGTCTACTGTCAGAGACCTCTCCAAGGTACTGAGGAACAACAACGTCAGTCTAGAGACTAAGGTGTGTCAGATACAGACCATGGTCTTTGCAATCACTTGCTATGCTTCAGAGAACGGGACAATGACTAGGGATGATAAAAGGATGATTGACCCTGTTAAGCTGTGGTGCTGGAGAAGAGTATTGAATGTACCATGGACTGCTAGGAGAACAAACAGGTTCATCCTCGAGAGGGTGAAGACAGGTTGATCCTTGGAGGCAAGGATTCTGAAGCTTTGTCTCACATACTTTGGGCATGTTGCAAGGAGAGACCAGTCCTTGGGGAGGGACTTCATGCTTGGGAGGGTGGAGGGACAGTGCAGGAGAGGAAGACCCTCGATGAGATGAATTGATTCCGTCACTGGGATAATGGTGATAGGCATGTCAGAGACAGTAAGATTGGCAAGGAATAGAGCAGGATTTAGTGCTGTTGTACATAGGGCTGTTATGAGTTGCAAGCGACTCGATGGCACATAACAACAACAACAATATTGATTAAAAAGTTATGGAGATAGAACACATCCCTGGCATACACCTTTCCCAATGCAGTGTTCCCTTACTCTGTTCTGACTACTGTCTCCTGGTCCTTAGGTTTCACATAAGCATGATCAGTTAAGACCAGATGAGCTGTGGGAAGATATCAAGAATAAAATCCAGGAAGAATTCAAAAGGTCATTACAAAGTCAAAGGAGGGGAGAAAAAGGACCAAAATGGATGTCAGTGGAGACTCTGAGCATTGCACTAGAGCACCAAGATGCCAAAGCAAAGGAAAGAAATCAAGATATTAAGGAGTTGAATGGAAGATTTCAAAGGGCAGTGGGGAAGACAAAGTAAAGTACTATAATGAAATATGCAAAGAGCTGGAGTCAGAAAATCAAAGGGGCCAAACTTGCTCAACATTTCTTAAGCTCAAGAAACTTAAGAGCATATTCAAGCCTTGAGTTGCAATACTTAAGGATGCATTGGACTGAATAGTAAATGATCCAGGAAGTGTTAAAAGAAAATGTAAAGAGTATACAGAATCATTGTAACAAAAGGAATTGGTGGACACAGAAGAATTTCATAAAACAGCATATGAGCAAGAGCCTGTGGTGATGAAGGAAGAAGTTCAAGCTGATCTGTAAGACTTGGCAAAAAACAAGACCTCAGGTATTGGCGGCATACCAATTGATATATTTTAACAAACAGATGCTGCCCTAGATATGCTCACCAAGTTGTGCCAAGAAATCTGGAGGACAACCACCTGGCCAACTAACTAGAAGAGGTTTATATCTGCTCCTATTCCAAAGAAAAGTGATCTGACAGAGAGTGGAAATCATTGAACAATATTGTTAATACTACATGCAAGCAAGATTCTGCTGAAGATTATCCAAAAATGACTAGAACAGCACATCAACAGAGAACTGCCTGCAGGGCAGAATGGGTTTAGAAGAGGCCGTGGTACTAGTAATATTGTAGCTAATTTTAGATGGATCTTGGCTCAAAGTAGGGAGTACCAGAGGAATGTCTATCTCTGTTTCATTGACTATGCAAAGGCCTTTGACTGTGTGTACCAAATGATACTGTGGCTAACTCTGACAAAGTCTTTAAATAGTCACATTTAAATGTGTCCCCTGGAAGAATCAGTGATTTTATGAAGCAATACAGTTGCCTGAATTTAAAGTTCAATGCTCCACTTGAGAAAACATGCCTAGAACTGAATGTTTAGACTGTTAAAGATAGTGTGTCCCAAGAAAGCTCTTCTAGAAATTCTTTCTTAAACTACCCTTTAAGGAGACATTTCTTTTTCTCTGTTTGGGTGTCATTGAAACCTTTTATTTCCCCCCCCCTTTTAAATGACAGAATAGCTTTTACTTGGTAATGGGTTATGTCTTTAGCAGTGTGTTATGAGCAGTTCTTTGTGTTTCTTTATGCCACTAGAGATGGGTTTCAAACTATCCTCCTCTCTCGCACCAAAAACTGGAACAGATATTTTGAGCATTAACTATTTCTATTATTTGCTCAAAGTAGACATAATTTTTGGTAGAGTTCAAGATACATAAAAAATTTTTAAAAATACCCAGTGAAATGAAATGACATAATGGTCATAAAAATGTGGAAAAAAATAAGTGGATTCACAGATCATGAAGATGTTACAAGACCAGGCATTGTTTCTTTCTCTAACTCATAAGGACATTGACTCAAGGACACCAAACAATAATAAATTCACACTTTCTCACATACTTTGAGCATGTGCTAGGGAAATTAGAGACAAAAGAGAGGCAGACCCTTGATGGGATAGACTGTCAGAGGGAGTACAATCCTGGGTTTGAGCTTGGCAGAGATTGTGAGGATGGTGCAGGATAGAACAAGGTATTAATCTTTAGTCCTTACTTACTGTCTCTGTAAGTTGTAGTTGACTGATGGCATCTAAAAATCTTATGCTTTAAGATCTAATCATGAGATTTCCTGAGGTGTTTAAAATTATTCCATTCATAAATTTTGTATGTGCAGCTTCCAGGGACTTTGTAAATAGTGATTTAATGTGGATTTGCAATTACTTGCTATGTATCAGAAATAGGACAATTGCTAGGGATGATAGAAGGAAAATTGATGCCTTTGAACTGTGGTGCTCGAGAAGATTATTGAATATACCATGGATTGCTACGAGAAGAAACAAGTTCATCCTGGAGAGTGTGAGACCAGGCTGCTCCTTGGAGGCAAGGATTCTGAAGCTTTGTCTGAAATATTTTGGACATGTTACAAGGTGAAACCAGTCCTTGGAGAGGAACGTCATGCTTGGGGGGGTGGAGGGGGGCTGGAGGGACAGTGTAAAAGAGGAAGACTCTCAATGAGATGAATTGATTTAGTGAGTGAGGGTAGGTGTATCAGAGACAATAAGATTGGCACAAGATAGACCAGGCTTTAGGGCTGTTGTATATAGGATCGCTATGAGTCTCAGGCGATTTGATGGGACACAACAACAACAACAACAACAATGTGGCTGAAAGTAAAAATACCAGAACAATGTCTATTTATGCTTTATTGACTATGCAAAGGCATTTGATTGTGTGGATCATAACAAGTTATGGAAAACATTGAAAAAAATGGGAATCCAAGAGCACAAAATTATGCTCATATTAAATTTATACCTAGACCAAGAGGCTGTTATGTGAACAGAGGAGGGAACACTGCATGGTTTAAAATTATGAAGGGAGTGTGTCAGGGTTGTTTCTCTCTCCTAGTCAATCTGTATGCCCAGCAATTTATTTAAAAAGGTGAAATCTATGAAGAAGAATGTGGCAATAAGATTGGAGGAATACTCATCAATAGCTTGTGTTACGCAGATCACATAACTTGCTAGAGAAGGTAAGAAAAACCTGAAACACTTGTTGCAGACCTTAAAAAAAATACTTCCTTCAATATGAATTGCATTTCAATGTCAAGAAAACAAACATTTTTACCACTGGACCAATAGACAGCATTACGATTGATGGAGAAACGATTGAACCTGTCAACAGCTTCATCTTACATGGATCCAAAATTAACACCCTTGGTAACCAGCAGTGTGGAAATTAAGAGACATACTGCACTGCGAAAATATGCAGTTAGGGACCTCTCCAAATTATTGAGGAGTAATGATGTCACTTTGCGTCTGATTCAGGCCATGGTCTTTCTCATCAATTGCTATGCATCTGAGAGTTGAGCAATGAATAAGGATAACAGAAGAATTGACACTTTCGAGCTGTGATGTTGGAGAAAAGTGCTAAAATTTCCATGGACTGCCAAAAGAACAAACAAATCTGTTTTGGAAAGGGTACAACCAGAAAGAATGCTATTTGTAGGCAAAGATAATAAAGCTTTGCCTCACATACTTGGAGCATGTTGCTGGAAGGAGCTATTCCTTAGAAAGGGGTATGATGTTCAGAAAGGCAGAGGGTCTGAGAAGGAGAGGAAGACCCTTGATCAGGTGGATTGACACGTCGACTGCCACAGTGGGCTCTAATTTGTCAGGCAATGTGAGGACAGCACAGGATAGGACAGGGTTCAGCTATCTTGTTCATAGGGTCACTATGGATTGTACGCTACTCGATGACACCTAACCACAACAATGTGATATATAACTGAATTTACTACTATTGGATCCTTAAGTCTTTAAAAAACTTCCAAGCGCTCATTATGTGTTTATATTGTGCCATGTTTTCAGGAGCTGTATTGGAATATGAAAGTGGACATGAAAAACCTACTCTTGTACCTTACAGTGTAGATTTTATAGATCACAAACATACAATGAATCAGTCAAATGTATACAATTTGGGGTAAAATATATGAAGATACAAGACACAGTGCGTTCTTATTTTATTTTTTATAGGATTTAAGATTGTTCAACTATGTATTTTCAGCAGTTAGCCAATTGAGTTCAGAATATATTTTATTCTTTTAGAAAAGCAATCTATTTTAAAATTGCTTGTGTGGTCAATTAGCTTAAAAGTTTAATGTGAGCTGAAAAATTTAGGTCTTTGTATATAAAATGTTAAGCAATTTGAAGTGTTGCTATCTCTGACTTCCTTTCTATTTCAGGGTCTTTGGAGCTGCCATACTTCTTACCTCTACCTTGAATATGTTAATCCCATCAGCAGCCAGAGTGCATTATGGTTGTGTGATCTTTGTTAGAATCTTACAGGGACTTGTTGAGGTATGGAACTGCAGCATGGTATTTCAAGTGGGCATGTTAATGATAGCGAGCAGATTATCTTTATTTTCATCTACTAATAAATATTTTTATACTGTGTATGTGTAGCATTAAAATAAAGGAAACATTGGGCAAGGTGGCAATCGTGTATTTTATCTATAGACAATGTTAGGTACAGTTTTAATTGCTTTACCTCTGCTTCTGCAGAATTGATGTGGATTAAAAAAATGTTCCAGTGACTATTTTAATTAAAAAACAACAATTAAAAAATCCATAAAATGCCTTTATTAATATGTGTGGTAATAATATTTTAGTTCATCCTTTACTATTGATAACACCAACTTACTCCTTTTTTTTTTGGTGTTTTGCAGCCATTTGGACTTTTACTGTTTCATAACTGAATATACTTTTTTGTCTTACCTGGGTTATTTAACTATTCTTCCATTAGTTTACAGATGTTAAAAGAATACCATTTAAAACTTTGAGTTTGGCCTACTGAGATTTAGGTTCTAGGCAAGTTAGATAAAATTTTAAAAACTATAGATAACATCTTTCCTTCTTAAAATAAGTTAAAAAAGAAGCAAATTAATAGGAAAAGACTTATTATTTTAAAGGAATTGCAAGTATAAATGCAACTGCTGTCCAATAATCTATGTCATCTTTTTTATTTGGGAATGGGTGAGTTCAACATCTCACTAAAAGGTATGACTATGAACTTTGATAAATGATGATAGCTATAGAACCGCTTCAGGCCTTTGTTCAGAGGTTAGCTATGAGTCGTGCTCAACTCAACAGCAATCAACAACAATAACATAAGGTATAAAAAATTCATCATTAAAGATTGAATGGAGATTTCGTCCTCTTTAATCTGGAATAAAATGGAGATAGAAGATGTGCCTGAAGTGTGAGGATAATTTGAATTTGTCACTAAAAAATGGTTATGTTTTAAATGCCTTGGGCTTAAAGCTTTCTAAATAGCATTTTGAGGAGGCAGTTAAGAGCCCATAAATAGCAGTTTTCCTAAAGGTATTTTGTGTTTCCAATAGGAAACAACCTCAGAGAAGGAAGTATGCTTATTTTCAAATGACTTTGAAATAAAAATGGTGATTTCTGTCTTTGCTTCATCACAGGGTGTTACTTACCCAGCATGCCATGGGATATGGAGCAAATGGGCCCCTCCTCTAGAAAGAAGTAGATTGGCAACCACTTCTTTCTGTGGTGAGTACTGTGTGAAGTTGTGATATGGTGGATGAAAGTTTACCAGTAACTTGGGTAAAAATAGAATGATTTCCAGGTCTCACACGTAAAGCCACACATTGATTATTTTCTCTCAGAACTTATTCTTCTAGAGTGTCAAATGATATTCATGGACTTTAAAAAAATTGATTTTTCCATGTTTGCATGCACATTATTAAATAATCTTAAAGAATTCAATAGTACTAAATAATGTGGAATATTATCTCTAGTATGAGGCATTAATATGTTCCAAAAGTTTTGGATTCATGAATTTCCCAAGCCATCTCCGCATTTATACATATGTATTTTTATTTTGTTTGTTTTACCCTGAGAAACTTTTTCATAAGATTTTTCATGGCAAGTTTTCTAAAACTTTTAAAGGAGTTGAAAAGTACTTAGTTATAGTACATAAAGTCCAAATAAAAATTTCCACAGGTGTATTTTATGGGGACAAAAGGATATATGTGTATGAATAGGCAATGTACTTGAGTATGCAGATGTGTGGTTGAATGAATAAAAGGAGGAAAATAAGATTAAATCAAGAATTTTCATTAATTTCACCTCATCCAATTTTGTTTTTTTCTTTTTCTCCTGCTATAGGTTCCTATGCTGGAGCTGTAATTGCCATGCCTTTAGCGGGCATTCTGGTACAGTACACTGGTTGGTCTTCAGTATTTTATGTATATGGTATGTTGCATTTTTTTATTAATAGAGTTTAAAATAAATGTACATAAGCTAAAATAAAAGCGGTTGTCAGGATTGATCACTGAATACCCTCTGTTATTTACTCACTTATTTTCTCCCTTAAGAATTCTTCTTCTATTGTCTGACCTTAAGGAAAATATTTTACCTCTTTTACTTTCCTTGGAGAGCCCTGGTGACTTAGCTGTTCTAATGTTTAGCTGCACACACACACACACAGAGAGAGAGAGAGAGAGAGAGAGAGAGAGAGAGAGAGAGAGAGAGAGAGAGAGAGAGCAGTTTGAAACTACCAGCGACTCTGTGAGAGGAAGCTTTGCTAGTTCTGCTCTGATCTCTAGGCACAGTTCAGGTCCACCAGCTGCTCTATGGGAAAAGGATTGGGCTGTCTCATCCCATGTGGTTTATTGCTTTTGAAAACCCAATGCAGGGTCAGCTGTCTGTTCTCAACAACTCTGACATTCAGGCTCACTTTGAATCAGAATTGAATTTAGTATTATTTCCCCTACATTGCTGTTTCTTGTTTTGAAAAGTAGCCACACTGCTGATGGAAACTTTGTGATGCATAAATGGCATAAATCACCTTTGTCTATGAAGAAAAAGGATTAGACTTCCTCTGGATTGCAAGCAGAATAGAAAAGAAGAGCTAAGTGACACCTGGCTCCCTTCTTTACTCCCGCTGCCCTGATCCTCTCCTTGACCTTGTGGTGATAGAAACCTGGAAGGTGGGGGACGTGTTACCATAACAGTTCAGTTTTGTAATATAACATCAGCAGTCTGCCGATGCAGCAGCTCATCTCAATCCTGTGCCCCTAGAATGAATGGAGGCAAAGCTGCCAGACTAAAACTGAAAATTAAAAGAAACTGAAATCCAAACACCCTTTCCAATCACTTTTAGTCAGAAGGTAAAAGCTGACCACTTCAAAGTATTTCTATAGTCTTTCTCACGAAAGACATATTAAAAAAATAATGAGGAGAATGAAATAAGAAAGCTAGATTCCACCTGATATCGTTGCTTATTAATAAGGCTATTTTTGGACATAGCCATGAGAATTGGAAAGATTAATGAAGTTGTGCAGTAAGACTGTCTGGATGCTTCCAAATTTGCCCTGATTCACTTCTGCTCTAAAATGTTCTCACTGAAGTAAAATCTAATGGTTGTAGAGTATCATTAAATGCTATTTATAGTATGGATTCTTAACACAGTCCAAAATTATGGGGAAATTTTGGGTTCATGCATTCTCTAAGTCATATCTATGATCTGTTTTTCAGGAGAAAAATTTTTATCACTTTTTATCAATAGCTTTTCTCAGATTTTCAAGGATTCTAAGAGCAGTTATTTGTAGACTTAATAATGTTAAGTGCTGTTGAGTCGCTTGCGACTCATAGCGACCCTGTGTACACAGCCCTGCTCTATCCTGTGCTATCCATGCCTACCCCCACTATCCCAATCACTGAATCAATCCATCTCATCAAGGGTCTTCATCTCTTGCGCTGTCTCTCCTGCCTCCCAAGCATGATGTCCCTCTCCAAGGACTGATCCCTCATGGCAACAAGTCCAAAGGAAGTCAGATGAAGCTTCAGAATCCTTGCCTCTAAAGAGCAGCCTAGTTTTACTCTCTCCTGCATGAGCCTGTTTATTCTCCTAGAAGTCCATGATATAGTCAATACGCTTCTCTAGCACCACAGTTTAATGGGGATCAATTCTTCTTCTATCATCCCTAGTGATTGTTCTGCTTTCTGATACATAGCAAGTAATTGCAAAGACCATGGCCTGCATCAGGCACACCTTAGTCCTCAGAGTGACATCGTTGTTCTTCTGTACTTTGGAAGGTCTCTGACATCAGGTTTTCCCAATGAAATTAATCTTTTAATTTCCTGGCTGCTGTTAACAGGAGTGTTGTTTGTGGAGACAAGCAAACTGAAGCTGTCAACAATCTCAATCTCTTTATTGTCTATCATGATGCTGTCAAGAAATTTCAACTTGTATTATGAAGTCTTTCATTGCTAAGAAAGACTTCATAAAAGTTGAAGTTTCTGTTTATCAAATATACTGGTTTTTAGCTTAACAGATTAATTAATCGAAGCTATAATATTACTTTAGAGTAAAAAAATGTCAATTTCAACAGGCCACTCATGAAAAATCAGACTTACTATTTCAAGTTATAACTCATGCAATATTTATCTTTGAGTAGTTTAAGATCAAAGTTTTCACTAACATCATTTGAAAATATCTCACTGTATTTGCGATATGTAGCCAAAAATAAAAAGGGTTTTTGAGCTGTACACTCAAGATCCAACGGTCATATTTTAAAAAGTAATACCTCTTATGTTGTGGGTCTAGTGGCCTAGTACAAAGGAACTGCACTGTTAATACCAAAGGCACACAGTTCAAATCTGCCAGCTGCTCTGCAGGAGAAGGTTGGTCAATCTTCTCCTGTGCAATTCACTGTCTCTGAAAACCTGCTGGAAGGTAGACTATGGGTCAGTTCCAACTGGACAGCACAGAGAAACAATAGCAACATACTGTGGGTTAAATTAAAAAAAGGATGATTTATATAAAGCAATTAGCAGAATACTTGACACAGAACATAGTCAACAAACGGTAATGATGATTATTATTAAATCACAAGAGCTTTCATTTATTTCATATTATATATGTTTTGTGTCAAGCACTACTGACTATACATAAGCTCCTATAACTATTCTTTCCCGCAATCCTATAAAATAGAAATTGGTTGTCTTTTTTATAGCTGTGTTATATTATGTACCATCAAGCTGGAACCAACTCATAGCTGACCCTCCAGCAGGTTTTCATAGGCAGCAAACTGTATGACTATCTATCTTTCTCCTGTGGAGCAGCTAGTGGATTCAAGCAACCTTCAAAAAGGCTGGCAGTGCAACTCTTTACAACTAAGACACCAGAGTTCCTTTTTATAGTAGTTATTGTTGTGTATGATCGAGTCAGAACTCACCCATAGCTGACCGTCTAGCAGGTATTCGAGGCATTTAATCAATTGCAGGAGAGGAGATTGCCCATCCTTCTCCCACAGAGTAGCTGGTGGATTAAAACCACCCTCCTTCGAGATTGTGGCACAGCTTCTTGCCACTAGGCCATAGTGGTTTTTAAATATTCTGTTTCTATTTTGAGCATATAGCTAATGAATGACAGAATTTGGATCTGGTAGAGTGGTAATTTTTCTAACCACAATACTCTACTGGATTTTTACATTATTTAACTTTAAGTAGTGTTTGCTGTCATCTGTAGTAATTAATAGGTGAATAGCCCCTCAGAACCTATGGTATTAAAGAGCACTCAATAGAGACTGAACAGGTAGAAAAGAGTATTATAAAGATTAGGGGCATTTAGATGGTTATCCAAGGGAACAAATGAATAGCATGAGGAAACAGTGTTCAGCTGCTGAGGAAGTCAGAAGAAATCACCTGAAATTCTTTCTATTATTAATGCTTATGGATTTATATTACAGAATAAGAACATGCTTTAATGGTGAAGTGTAAAATAAAGGATGGAAAAAGACTTGCAAACAGTTTGTTGTATTGGCATTTATAACTTTCATCTTTCTGAAGAATGATCCACAAGCAATAGTATGTGCTAAAAAGAATACGGTATACAATGATGTAATGTGTTAAATGTTAATGTACTAGTTAGTTATAGAGGCTTGTTTTTCATCTCATATAGCCACTTAGGCTAAAAGAACCTTCTGAGGGTTTTTCAGCAGTCTCTTCACTAGATCTGGAAATACTAGCCAAAGAAGGAAATGTACCTATTCTAGAAATGCAAATCATTTTCACAGATTCAAACAGAGACACAATAAAAGAAATTATTGTTAGCATTACTCTTTTGGATAAAAAAGTCTATCTTCTTATTCATCACATTTCTCATAATATGAAGAATATCTGGAACAGTTTTACCTGTCCAGGCAATACTGTGTTCCAAACACTACAAACATTTATGACTTGGGGTTGACCCATCACATACTGAGCAGGAGAAAGATGGACAATTTTCTTTCTTACAATTAACTGACAAAGTGCCTGTGAAAACCCAGTGGAGGGTCAGCTATGTTCCCAAGGGCACATAATAACAACATACATAGTTTAGTAGAGACAAATTCAGTTTGCTGGAAGCTTGAGGTCTAGTGGCAAGAGATAAGAAATGATTAAGGTCAGTTGGAAAAGTTCAAGTTCTCCAACCTACAGAATGTATTTATCATAAATAGTATTTTTTATTTCAAAATATCTATTATATTTATGATGACCTTGATTTCCTCCTTTTATACTCTAACTTGCAGGAAGCTTCGGAATTTTCTGGTACATGTTTTGGCTTTTGGTGTCTTATGAGAGCCCTGCAAAGCATCCTACCATTACAGATGAAGAACGTAGGTACATAGAAGAAAGCATTGGAGAGAGTGCAAATCTTTTAGGTGCAATGGAAGTAAGAACTTTATTATGGTGTATATTTCTACTTTTATACCCCATCACTCCCTTCAATCTACTGAAATATATGTCTATATTAATCAAACTAATTTTATATCAACTGTAGCTTTTTAAATCCATTCATATTCCCTACGTTATTTAGGGCTGTTAACCACTTCATGTGTCTCTGATTTCTTTTCCCCCTTAAGTTTCTTTGAATCTTCACTCGAGTTTGGTCACACCAACATAAACAGATTTTTAGAAACATTTTGGTATAATGTAAGCAAATTCAGCCAATATTTGCTAATTTCAAACTATAGGAAATTGCAAATCACTTAGCACAATCATAAAAAGGGATATTTTGTTGATTGAATATTTTAAATGTGGAGTTCATAATTATATGACACTGAAAATATTTAATCAGTAATTATCTAATGTTAAACAACTGAAACAAAAAATTGTTAACAGAGTTTAACCATTTTCTTAATACAGTGTCATTGTTTTAAAAATTTTTATTATGAAGTTCAAATATTGTTATAAAACCATTTTCTTATTATGATTTGATCGAGTACTTTTATTGAGTTAGTTCATGTAACATAAATGAAATTTAAGTATTAATTAATCAACAGTCATCTGATATCATTTTAAAAGAAGAGAAAGAAATCACTTAAAGAAAATTATATAGTTGGACAAATTCTGTAATTCAGCAACCTAATTAGTGACTCAATTTCTTTATACTAAGAGTTGAAGGTGCTATGCATGAATTGAGTTAGATGATGCTCCCTTACACACTGTAATTCTACTTTTAACTAGTAGATTATTCCTTCCCGTATTATGTGCTGTTTATATTACAGCTTCTTCTCTATCTGGTAGCTAATTGCTGGTCAGCCACCCGTTACTGCCGAGTATATCCTGGCTTTCAATGAAGGGGAAAAGTTCCATATTGGTTATCATTCAGGAGTTAAATTCAGTAGTTAAAACCTATAAATACTTGTATTTTGGTTGTTTCACGAACTGAATTGACTGACATTAGGATTTTTCTTTTCTGTTTCCTTTGTAGATAGACCAGTACTTTCTTTCTAATTGTGGCTATGCAAGAACCAAGTGGTAATGTGGTGGAGTGAGGGCTAGGCATTAGCAGTGTGCCCTAGTATTCCTGAGCTACAGTTGTTCTGTTGTTGGTCACCATGAAGTCTATTCTGATTGATTTTGTGCAAGGTGGAACTGCTTCATAGAGTTTTCAAGGCTGTTAAATTAGAACCTCATAGCTTTGTATCTTGGAAGGGAGCTCTTGTGGCTTATTGGTAAGGCATTGCACTGCCAACCTAAAGACACTTGGGTTCAAATCTATAAGTTGCTCCACTGGAGAAAGATGGGCAATCAATCTCCTACCTCTGAACACCTGCTGGGGGGCTGGCTGTGAGTTGGTTGTGACTTGATGGTATCCAATAATATATTTTGGAAGCAGATTTCCAGGTTCGGTTCCTCTGGGTGAGTTTAAATCTCTCGTCTTTGAGCTATTGCACAAGTACTTAAGCATATGCTCCACTCAGGCATTCATAACCATTAGCTTGTGGTTGTTGTTATTGTTGTTGTTGTTAGGTGCCATGGAGTCTACTGTGGTTTTTTGCCTTCTAGTTGGAACTGACTTATAGCTGACCTTCCAGTGGGATTTTTAAGATGGTAATGACATGGGAGGAGATTGCCCATCTTCCTCTTGTGACCATTTAGGTAGGAAGAGCTAAATATAGATTTGTATATGTGAAAGCAGGAGTGGCATCCACTGCTTAAACAACATGCCTCCGGAAACTCTCAGAAGTTTGAGAAACTACTATAGTTAAAGAAAGGCTTCAGATCTTTTGTCCATAGGGTTTCTATGAGTCATGCTCAATTCGACGACAATCAACAACAACAACAGCAACTTTTGGTAGGATCAGAAGAAAGAGCTACTGATGTGCTTCCAAAATGAACAAATCTATAAAGCACAGGTGTGTCCTGGCTCACATGGGATTGCTACGAGTTGGAATTGACCCCAGGACAACTGGTTTGGTTTATTTATGCCTTTCACAAGCTTTTAAAACTTGAGTCAACGCAGAATCACACATCGCAGTTCACTAACTGCTTCTTGAAAATATCATAAACCGTTTGGTGGGTTTTTAAAAACATAAACATACCTGTGCTTGTTTTGAACACAGTTTAAACAGTTCATGGTTTGTTTAATTTACTTTATACTGGTTTACATTGTGTTTCACACTATTCTTCATTCACACTGTGTTTCCTAAAATCATTCCCATTAATCATGCTTTATAAAATTAATCACCACTGGACTATGCCTTTTATAAAATTTTTATAAAATTAATAAACACTGAACTATGTCTTTTCAAGTCCCCTCCAGACATTTCCCATTTCCTTCATCCACCTAATAGTTTTTTAAGTTTTATAATTAGATACTTTTTTATAAAGTTCTTCACCATTTGAAGAATAAAGGCTTTTTAGTGCAGATGATACTGATATAAATTTAAAAAATAGGAGGAAACGTTATTTATTCTTAATATTCTGAAGTAATTTTTTGTAAAAGCATAATATTATGGTGCAGACTTTTCTGAATTTGTTAATTTTTATTGTTTTTGATTTTGACATAAGTGTGTTTATGTGGCACCTCATACTAGGATTTTTAAGAAATAGCACTTTTTCAATCATTTCAGAAAGATGTTCCTATAAATTTTAATTCTAAGTAACAGTACTAGGATAGTTTCATTTCTCTTTTAAATTATATATATTTATAATAATGAAAATGTAACTTCTTATCCTTTGGCTTTCAAATGATCTTTAAAACCTTATTTGAAGTTATAATCAATACTTGAAATTTTGAAGATTTACCTTTAGAAATAAGTAATAAATTTGTGCTCACATTTTTTCCTTTTCTTATTCAATAGATCAATCATCCCAAACAACATTCAATGCAATTAATTTAGTCTGTTGTTTCTTCCACAAATGGTTTCTTTTTCCCCCAAGTAAAGTAATTCAGAAAGTGTTCTAAAATATTAGAGATATTTGGCATATGACTCTTGGGGAAATATTTGTTTTATATTTTGAATGTACAGAATCTTTATGATCAGTAAGTCTAATTCTTAAAACAGGTGTCACAAGCAAGGACAACATATTTATGTTGTTGAAATTAAACTTAACTTTTGTAAATATCAAGTACATAATAATATAAATAACTGTTACGAATATATATAACAGTTATTGCAGGATCAGAGTGTGCTGTGTGACCAAATTCTGTAGCTCAGCTCTGTACACTTATGACTAAAACTGTTACATTGATGCTAATTGGGTATAAAAGAATTATCAATAGACAGTGGACTCATTGACTTTACATTACGTTTTGGAGTGCTCCATTTTTAAGTCTTCTTTCTCCTCCTAGTTATATTAAATTTTTCAGATAGCTCTGGCTCAAACATTTTGGATACCATGAAGTCCCTAATTTGACAGTGAATTTCAGCTGGGATATAATAACTGCTATCAAACCAAATATAACTCCCCAAAGTATTCTTTTGCCCCCAAAAAGAAAAAAATAGAGGAACTTAGATATTAAATGTCTGTACTTTTGGAATTACTTTTACATAAATATGTAAGATTGTGTGTTACTAAACCTACAATAGTTTAGTCATCAGGGGAATACAATAGCTTACTTTTTTCATTTCTATCGACTGTTCATGTTGCTAAGCTTACCTGGGCTGTGATAATTCATGATTTCCTGTCACTTGCCCCTTATCCTCCGCATGTTCCACCATATTCATCTGGATTATACTCACTAAAGAAAATAAATAAAATATACTTTTTAAATTGTCAGATTAATTTTTTTATTTCAGAAATTCAAGACTCCATGGAGGAAGTTTTTTACATCTATGCCGGTCTATGCAATAATTGTGGCGAACTTCTGCAGAAGCTGGACTTTTTATTTACTGCTCATTAGTCAGCCGGCATATTTTGAGGAAGTCTTTGGATTTGAAATTAGTAAGGTATGCTGAAAACTCTTGATATTTAACTAGTGAGAGAATTTTGTATTTATTAAGTATTAAATTCCTCTGCCACATCTTTATTTCCTAAATGTTATGAGTTTGTCATTGAATCTTTGGCCTATAAAGCAACTAATTCGGGTAATACAGACAACATAGACTAGCCTTCACTCTATTTGACCATACAACAAAAACAACCCAAGTATAGTTTTCTCCTTTCAAATTATCATAAGTGTCTTAAAGTCTTAGGCCAGCAGCTACTAACAGTGAAAGAAAAAGTATTTTATTTTAATTAAATTATGTATAATTCTTCCCCTTTAATGTTCTGACAAATGCATCCAGATAAGAGAGATGTTATGTTGTTGTTTTGGTCTGTCAAGTTGAAACCAACCCATAGCTGACCCTGCAGCAGATTCAGAGGCAGTAAATCACATAGAAAGAGACTGCCCATCTGTCTCCTGAGGAGCAACTGGTGGCTTTGAAACATGTACCTTTGTATTGGCAGCCCAATTCTTTACCACTAAGCCACCAAACATCCCTAAGAGATTTGAAGAAAGCAAAAATATCTGCAGCCTTGTATTTTGTTCATAGATTTTTTTTCCCCATCTAACAAGCCTTTGTTGAATATAACATGCTAAGGCTTGTGTAACATTTGGAAATAAGATATTGTTTCTATATTTAAAGACTTCAGAGTTTGGTGGGATAGATAAAAAAGTTACTAATTAGAGCACAACTATATCTAATATTAAGTGTCTCAAATTTTTACATGGCTATGGAAAAGTAAGAATTTTTCCATTTTTAAATGATAAATAAAATAAAAATACTACTTTGTATTTACAAAAGAGGATAAGAGTAATGTATTACTTTCATACCCACTAGCAGACTTATTTGGTTGACCATTTGTACAGCTATCTCTACTTAACAGTAAAATGGAAACTAGAGAAGTTATTTAAATTGTCTAAGACCATATAAATAACAAATAATAGAATCAAATTTAGGCTCTGATCCTTTGATAGCATTTGTTTGTTTTTATTTTATCATTCAACTTCAGTTAAGCCATATACTCATTTAAGCATTTAGAAAACATTTGTTAAACACCTTCTAGGCACTAGGCTTTTTTCTAAATCCTAAATACACTTATCTGTAATGGCAATGGTTTTGTCATTTCTCTTCATGTTATAAGTCCAGCTGAGCTCACTATTCATACTATGTCTACTTGAAAGACTATCCAAGGCCTGGGACTAAAGAAAATCTGAATATAAGGGTAGCTATTCTAAGAGCTCTTTTGTAAAGCCTGTTTCTAAGGAAACTGTTTCCTCCATCTCTGAAGCAGAAGAATGACTGCTCAGGCAGGCCTCCTCTCTGGAGCGGATCTAACATTGCAGGGTCCTCTTCGGGAGCTCTGAGAAGTGTTACACTTCACAACAAAGACTACTGGAGGTGCAAGTCCATTTTCATAATCTAGGGCAGATATAACACTGAGAGACTATTATTAAAGTCAGGTATCATGGAGAAGTGAAGAAGCCAACTGATGTTAATGAAACTGTGTGGCTATTCTGTCCCTGTGGCTCCAGTTAATTGAAAACACTCGAGTAAAAGCCATAACCTTTTGTGAAAACTAATTGTAATAACTAGATGGGCTGATTTGGTTTACCTGATATATTTCTAATGAAAATTTTCGATACATCTTACCCAGAGAGTTATCTTTTAATATTTTAAATCAAACATAACAACTTGCAACTCTTTGCCCTAAAATAGGATGTATACAGCTAAGCCTTCAGCTGCTTTTGAGAAACTGTAAATCATATAAAAGGAGATTGTTCATCTTTCTCTCACAGAGCAACTGGTGTATTTGAATCACTTGACTTTGATTTGACCATACAACATCTTATACACTAGGCCACCAGAGCTCCCTGACAGATTAGAAGAAATAAAAATCCTTTTACCTTAAAAATGTTTAGAAGATGTTATAAGGAAAGAGAGCATGGACATTTGAGCTAAGTTAAAGTGGCTTTGAATCTAAGCTTCAAAACAAACTGATCACTTTTATGCAGGTTATTGGTTTTATTAGACTTTTCACTCTCAAAAACAGTAATGCCACACACGGGGGATAAGAGCTCAGTCTTTGGACCTAGAGAAAACGGATTGAAAACTTGGCTGATAATAACTGTCTCCGCTTCATCATCAATACAAGGGGGATATAATAGTAATTTCCATCTGAGAAAGCTTTGTAGAGTGGTAAGGAGCTCACTGAAAACCCAAAGACACGCAGTTCCAATCCACCAGGTGCTCCATGGGAGGAAGATGGGTAGTCTTTTTCCATGCAATTTACAGCCTCTGAAAACCTACTGAAGCATCAGCTTTGAGTTGGTTCCCACTTGATGGCACACGATAACAACAACAAAATTACATCTGAGAGTAAAAAGTATATTACTCTAAGCTGCTTTAGAATCATCTGCTATTTCAGTTAATCATCACAGCAACCCAAATCCATGATTACTACACTGTAAAACACTATCAAATAAAACAGAAACTTTAGTAATATTAAAAAGAAATACTTATACACATATAATATATGAACTTAAATAATGCTGATAGTTGTAGAGGGGCTTCAGGCCTTTTATTTATAGGGTCGCTATGAATTGTGCTCGATGTGAAGGCAATCAACAACAATAACAACAATAGCAATAACAACACCATCTCTTCTGCAGTAGTTGTCATTTTGTGACCAGGATATTTTACTGAGCATGATTTCTTCCAGAATCATTCATGTTGTATAGTGTTTTACTTTTTTATTGTTTCTCAATACATAATATTCCATTCTATGACTATACTACAGTTTTCTCTATCCATTTGTTGATGAGTGCTTAGACTGCTTCCATCTCTTTGCTATTGTGAATAATTCTGTAATAAACACTGATGTACATACATCTGTCTGTGTCACAGTTCTGATTTATTTGGAGTCTATTTCCAATAGTGTGACAGCTGGATTAAATAAATGGTAAGTCATACACCAGGCACTGTACTTTCGAGTATACTTGGGAAGAAAGTCCCTATATATGTGTTCAAAATTTGCCTAGTCTGTGTATATAGTAATACACATTTAATTGTATTTTATTAAAAATAACTGCCTTTATAACCCCTAGAACAGTATCTTGTACATCATTAATAATAAAAGAAAATGCTTATTGATGTTGACAAGTTACATTTCACATTGGGCTTGTTGTTTTTATGTGCCCTTGAGCCATCTACAGCTCATAGTGACTCTCTGAACAGCAAATCAGGACGCTGCCCTATCCTGCACCATTTTCATGATCTCTGACATGCATTTAAGATTAAATGAAAGTTTTTAACTTTATTATGAATATTAAAATACAGTCTTTTTAAAATTTGTAGAATGCATTTCTACTCTCTCTAGCTTTTTCTCTCATTTTCTTTAGTTCTCTCTTCCCACTTCACTCTAGTCATGAATTTGTGCAAACACTGAAGATTATAAAAAGGACATATAAATGTGAATCACTCTAAGATAAGATTAAGGATGATTGCTCTATAAACTCAGTATGGGCCTACTAAAACCACAGCAAAAACTTTGTCATTTATCCTCCTAGAAGCTATAAAGGGGTCAAAGTAAATGCATTCAGTACTTAAAAATTCATTCTATTGACATTATTACTCACATATGCACCTACAGCTAAAGACAAATATGAGGAATTCGACAAATTTTTTTGTAGCTTGAAATTGACCAAACATGCAGTCAAGGCACATTTATAATAATTAATTGGCAACTGAAATGAAAATGTTGGAAACAAAGTAGAAGGAATAGTAGTCGGAAATTATGGATGCAGGAATAGAAATGAAGGTGAAGATCAAGTGATTGAATTTTGTACATTTATTGAGTTATGCATCACAAACCTTCTTTAAAAAGCACAGATGGAAGCTATACACATGGACTTTATCTGGTGGACTGCATAAGAATCAGACTAACTGTATCTGTGGAAATAATCATTGGAGAATCTTAATATCAGTAGTCAAAATCAGGCCATTTACTGACTGTGGGACAGACCACTAATTACTCATGTGCAAGTTCAAGTTGAAACTGAAGAAAATGAAAGCAAGTTAACACTAGCCAAAATTCAACGTTGGGTCTATCCCACCTAAATTTGAAAATGTTATCAAGAATAGGTTTGAGACCCTTCTTTGTTTCATAAGCAAGATGACTGGGTGTTCATGCTTTTGTAAGACATGTACCTCCCTTAAACCTCGTTATGCCATCGGCATATTACTCATCTGATGTGAGGAAAACCAACAAAATATGTTTGAGGCATTGAACACTGAACATTGATCAAACACTAAAGAAGATCAAAGTTATCAATGGAGAGAACAGAAAGTCATTACAAAAACAGAGGAGGAAGAAGGGACCAAAATGGATGTAAAAAGAAACTGCTGCACAATAGCATAAAAAAGCCAAAATAAAGAGTAGAAATGCTGACATAAAAGAGATGAACAGATGATGTCAGGGGACAGCTTAAGAAGACAAAGGAAATATTATAATGGAATGTTCAAAGAGTTGGAGTTGAAGTTCAAGGTATATTCCATGCCCTTCTCCAGCACCAAAACTCAAAGGCATCAATTTTCCTGTCATCTTTGGTCATTATGCAGTACAAGAAATTGCAAAGACCATGGCCTGAATCAGGTACACCTTAGTCTGCAGACTGAAATTGCTGCTCTTTGGCATTTTTGAGAGGTCCCTGGCAACAGCTTTCCCAAGAATAATTTGTCTTTTGATTTCTTAACTGCTGGTGCTAAGAGTGTTGATTGTGGATCTGAGCAAGCTGAAATTGTTAACAACCTCAATTTCTTCTCTGTCTATTATGGTGTTGTCATTTGGCTCAGTGGTGAGAATATTTGTCTTCTTGATGTTGAGTTTCATTCCATACTGAATGTATATCTGTGTTTTATTTACTATGCAAAAACATTTGCCTATGTGAATAATAAGAAACTATGCCTTATGTTGAGATGAACGGAAATTCAAGAACACTTAATTATGCTTACAACAAAATCTATACCTAGACCATGAAGCTGTTGTTTGAATAGAAAAAGAACACTGCTTGCTTTATAATAAAGAAAGATGTGCATTAGTGCTGTGCCTTTTGTCTATACCTATTCAGTCTGCATGTTGAACAAATAATTTGAGAATCTAGACTTTTTGGAGAATAATGTGTCAAGTTTGGAAGAAGATACAACAAACTGTTATGCAGATGACACAACCTTGCTTGCTGAAAGTAAGAACTTGAGGTGCATGTTGCAGATAATCAAGGACTACAGCCGTCAATATGGATTCAAAAACCCTCAACACTAAGCCAAGAGGCAACATCATGAAAATATTGAAATTCTCAACAATTTCATCTTACTTGGATCCACAATCAACACTCTTCGTACCAGAAGTCAGGAGGTGAAAAGTTCAGCACTTAGAAACTCAGTTGTCCTGGATCTCTCCAAAATTCTGAAACACAAGCAATGATGTTACTTTAAAGACAAAGGTATGCTTGGCTTACCTCACTCTCCCAGTCACAAACTCTGCATCTGAGAAGTGGTCTATGAATAAGGATGATAGAAGAATTGCTGCCTGTGAGTTGTGGTGTTAGTGAAGTGTACTGAATATTGTGAATAATACTGAATATCGGACTGCCAAAAGAAAAACAGATGTGTCTTGGAGAAGGTGCAACTAGGATATTCCTTGGTGGCAAGGATGATTAAGCTTCATCTCTCATACTTTGGGCATGTTTTTATGAGCAGCTATTTTTTTGGAGAGAGACATCAGGCTTAGAAGGGTGGTGGATCAGCAAAGGAGAAGAAGACCTTCAGTGAGATAGAGTCATATAGTGACTGTGGCAATGAACTCAAGTGTGTCATGGATAAAGAAGGCTCAGGATAGAATAGGGTGCTGTTCTGTTGTTCACAGGGTTACTCTGAGTCATGCTTGACTCAGTGGAACTAAACAACAAAGCCAGTAAATAATAAATTATCACTTAGAAAATTTTTTTCCTTCTTTGTAAAGAGAACTAAGATTATTAAGCCACTCACATTATTTATGATCACATATGTTATCTCCTTATTTCTTATTAGGTTGGCATGCTGTCCGCTGTACCACATTTAGTAATGACTATTATTGTGCCCATTGGAGGACAAATTGCGGATTTTCTACGAAGCAAACAGATTCTTTCAACTACCACAGTGAGAAAGATTATGAATTGTGGTGGTAGGTACATGAATGACATGAAGGACATATTTTCACTCCACACAATTCTCACCAACATTTTATGCTTGTTACATTAGAATGTTACAGTTAAATTTGTGCCTTGATTGTTCATTTAAAATTATTTGTCATTCTCATTGCAAACCCTTAGTAGCTCCATAATGATGTATCATTTATGTTTATTGTAACTAACTTGATCCTTACTTCCATTGAGACCTGAGGTTGCTTTTGATGTTTTAAATGATACAAAAATTGTTATAACAATAATTAGTAATCATATTGGGATATAAATTGTCAATATTGTTATTTAACATACAACCTCTGAAATAGACTTAAGTCAATACATGTGAATATTCTTAGCCCTGTTGAATCTTTGTAAATTTTATATGAAGTTCTCAATTGTGCCTATGTCTTTGCTTTGGAAGGTTTTGGCATGGAAGCCACATTGCTGCTGGTCGTTGGCTATTCTCACACAAGAGGAGTAGCGATCTCATTCTTAGTTCTTGCAGTGGGATTCAGCGGATTTGCTATATCTGGTAAGAAACCTTTTTTGTTAAACTTGTAATGTCCTGTTATCTGGCTCATGATAATCAATAATGCATTTTCTACCTCCCACTTTGATGTTTTGACTGTTGATAGGGTTTTCCCAACATAGGTCCCTGTGAAATATTTTAAAAATGGTTTTAGATTTGGTGCTACTCTTTAATCTACTTACTCTCCTCTTTTTTCTTTGTACCTGTTTTTTGTAGAATGAAACATGCTCCTCTTTGTGGCAGATAATTTTTGAAACCATATTTCCAGTGATACTTGATGAGAAATCCTACCTCATTTCATTCCTTTGAGCCTGAGCTAAACAGAAAGAATGCACTAAGCTTGTATAGGGTACCCAGTAACTTGTAAGGGATTGCCTTGAATTCACCAATGGCTCCTTTGAAGAAAGGGGGCAGTCTCTTTACATTGCAATTATAGCCTCATAAGGATCGTTAAGAGTAGGAATGGACTCCATGGCAATGGGATAAAGCTGGGTGGGAGATGTATTTATGAGGTTTAGGATTCTCAGAGTAAACACTTATTTGTGTATTTTAGGTTTCAACGTTAACCACTTAGATATCGCTCCAAGATATGCCAGCATCTTAATGGGCATTTCGAATGGTGTTGGCACATTGTCAGGAATGGTTTGTCCGATCATTGTTGGTGCAATGACAAAGAACAAGGTAAGAGGGAGCAAAAGAGATGCTCAGTTACAGATGATTCTGTATCATAGTTGGGGAAGGTGTTATTATGTTCTCTTTGGCATCTTTATTTTTTTTTCCTGAGGCAGCAACCCCAACTCTGAGTTGTTGTTATTGTCATTAAGGGCCATCAAGTTGAGTATGACTCACAGTGACCCTATGGACAACAAATCTGCACTCTGTCCTGTCCTGTGCCATCTTCATCACCTCTGACACTCTTGAGCCAATTGAAGCCTATTGCAGCAGGCACTTAAAGTCAGTCCTTCTTGTTGAGGGTCTTTCTTTTGCCTCTTTTCCAACTATGATATTCCTTTCCTAGGAATAGCCTCTCCTCCTGTGATTAAGTGAGATACTTGAGACTCAGAAGGAAAGATCTCTCTAGGGATTTGGAAGAAGCTCATTTCTCCAACTTTTCAGTACCTTCTTACATTTATGATATTTTTGATATAGCAAATACCTTCTTCTTCTTCTAGTGTATTAGAAAAGTCAAACATAAATCTTTTGGGTGTTAATTTCAAACCTCAGTAAAGCTTCCCCCAGAGTTATTCATGGAAAGAGATAATTATGGTTTGCTGTTAGGTGTCTTTGAGTCAGTTCTACCTCATGGTTACCCACATATACATCAGAAGGAAATACTCCTGTTACTGTACCCTTCTCACAATACACTGCTGTGTTTGAAACAATTTTGCATCCACTATCTCAGTCATCTCACCGAGAATCTTCCCTTTTTTCCACTGACCTTCTCCTTTACGAAGCATGATCTTCTGGAGTGATAAATCTCTTGATAATGTGTCCAAAGTATTTGTGTATATATATATATATATGAATAAACCAGTAAATATGAAGTCTTATTTTTTAAAAAAACAAAAGATAATAGATAACAGTTGGAGTTATATTTTAGAACCTTAATATATTAAAAAGTAAATCATTATAGTATTTTAGAAAGGTGTTTGGGGTTTTTTCTACAAGCATATTTGCTTTATACAATCTCATGGGTTTACCTTTAAGATAGTGCTTTTATGAAAATCTTGATAGTATATTCTTTGGTGACATAAAGCCTTCACTTTCAATCATGGGAATTTTATTCTCAAAATGCTTTCTCGTTACTGCAGTCACGTGAGGAGTGGCAGTATGTCTTCCTGATTGCTGCTTTAGTCCACTATGGTGGAGTTATATTTTATGCAATATTTGCCTCGGGAGAGAAGCAACCCTGGGCAGACCCTGAGGAAACAAGTGAGGAAAAGTGTGGATTTATCCATGAAGATGAACTTGATGAAGAAACAGGGGACATTACTCAAAATTATATCAGTTATGGTACCACTAAGTCCTATGGTGCCACAACACATGCCGACGGGGGCTGGCCTAATGGGTGGGAAAAGAAAGAAGAATTTGTACAAGAAGAAGTACAAGACTCATATACCTACAAGGACCCAGACGATTACTCATAACAAAGCTACTTGATGGATTTATTTTTAGTGTTTGTGATTAAATTGTGATTGCACAAAAAATTTAAAAAATGTGTAAACATGTAAACATATCAACTTGGCAAGTCTTGCTGTAAAAATGAAATCAAAACAGTCCCATGAAGTTACCCTCATGTGCAATCTGTGGAAGTTGTGAAATTCCATAATCTCCATTCAGGTCACTCATTAATGTACTTGTGATATAAAGATTGACTGGTCAAAATTGTACAAGAAAGTTAACTAGCTACTCACTGGGTTTGTATGAAATAAAGCTCATCACCATTTAATAAAGCACAACTTAAGCAGATGGCACATTCCATATTGCAACAGTTAGGAAGCCAAAGCTAATTCATCATGAAAAAAAGCACTTATACATTTGTTACACTGTATTGCAAGATATCGCACAAGAGTCATGCTTAACAAAAGTGAAACTCCTGTTTGCTGCATCTGGCTTTGGTGACATTTATTGTGTGTAAATCACTGAGGTGGGATCTCTCTCAATTAGAGAAGTATATCGTGAGCTAGCAACTAGCAAGATGTGTTGAAAAATTATTGAGATTATATAATGTGAGGTATTTTGTTAGACTTCAAGAGGAATATCTTGCAGTGTTTTATATGAAATGCTTGGGCACAAATATTTATTTCTGTGAAAGAAATCTTATAAAGTGAGGGGTATGGTTCATGTTCTTCCATTAATTTACCTGACAGTATAAAGCACTTCACATTTCAATAAGATCCAACTTTTCATGTAGCATATCAGATAACTTTTTTGCAAAAAATTATAAAAAATAGACTTCAGTGTATTTTTTATTACAACTTTGTACTGGTTGTAACTTGCATTAGAACAAAAGAGATATACACCTTTAAGAATCTAATGATAAATTTACTAAAGAGATATACCCTTAAAATGCAATATTAAAAACAAAGACAATAGAGAACCATTTAGATATCTTTCTTCCTTAAAAATTAAATGCTATATGAAATTTGTGCCACAGAGCTATCTATAGTATGAAGAGATTAACTTAATAGAGATATTGTAAGTAGACAATTTTATTATTTAAAGTCCCATTTAAAAGATATTTATCTAAAATATATAGGACAATATAAATATATTAAAGTTCTATCTATATATCTTATACATATCCATGCACAGAAACATAATACACAATTTTCACTCAAAACCAAAAATAGCATACACCTAATGTTGGGTTAGGGGATTTAAATTTCTACTTTCATAGAGTCATACATAGACTTTTAGATGGGGAAGAGGCATTTTGCTTGTTGTTTCTTAATATAATTCAATGAGAACTGCAACATTTGTGTACCAAGCAATAAGTGCAATGCATAAACCTTCCCGTATGTATATTAACTTCATTTTGCTTGTGGTAGCTGTATGGGTGGTTGGAATGATTTTCTTTTTTCCTTTTTAAAAAGTTAACATCAGATCTCTTTAATATTATAAAATTATAACAACGCATTTCCCACTTCAACCCAAAATACTCTTGGTGTGTTTAACTGTCTTTCATGGATATTTGGTCTGTTCATTGTATTGTGCTAGTGACTGGAGGCCCTGCTACTGCAACTATGAAACATAAAGTTTGTTTAAAAATGCAAACCATTCTTGACCTTAAGGAAAATAAAAAAATATATCTTTTGCTTTGTGTCTCAAAGTGATGTAATGTGGTCACAGCTTTTGTTGTGTTGAATGAAAACGTGGACTCTCATTTTGTTGCTGAAAAAAAGTGTTAATAAAATGCTCTATTTATCCTTTTGTAAAAAAGGTATTAATTTGAGCTTATTTCATTTAGTTTGAAGTGTTTATGTGAAATTAGCTTATGACTCTGCCAACTAATATAGCCTATGCTTCAGAACAACTGTAAAGTCATTTAAACTTTGATGGAAGCACATGGCTTTCTTTAGATTGTGTGGGAAGTGGTTTTGTAGATGAATTTTAAGTCAAAACTTATATTTTTGAATGAGGCTTCATCTTTCAGTGATAGTCTACTCATAACCATTGTTGTATTTTAAAAAAAGCAATTTAGACAAAAATTGCAAAACTTGTCAGGTCTTCGATAGTTCCTAACATTGATTACAAACTTTTTGTGCTGGACACATTATATGTTATCTTATATAGTATTTTCTATATAGCATTTGACAATTTGTTATGTTTTATGTAACAGGTTCTAAATTGTGCAGTTAGCTAACCATTTTGACTGATAACTAGGTTGAGGATCAAGCCCACCTAGAGGAACCTGGGAAGAAAGTCCTGGCTGTTATCTTTTAAGCAATGAGATGCTAAAATCCCATGAAGTCACCTGAATATGACTTGAGTTGATGGCAAAAGGTCATCTTGATATATAGCTTACAAATTAAGGAACTTAAAATCAGTTTCAATTACTAACCCAAAATAAAATAAAGTTGTTGTTGTTGTTGTTATGTTCCCTCAAGTAAGAATTGACTGATAGCTGATCTTCTAGTGAGTTTTCAGAGGCTGTAAATCACACAGGAGGAGATTGCCCATCTTTCTTCTCAGAGCAGGTGGTTGATTTGAAATGTATGCCTTCAAGTTGGCAGTGCAACTCTTTACAACTAGGTCACCAGAGCCCCAAAGTAAAGTAGTGACACTCTAGTGTGATGTTTCAGTTGCACCATTGAGCAATGAGCAAAGTTTATGTTTATAGTCTGTGGAATGTCTTTGGAGTAGGCAAAAAATTGTTTAGGTCAAATTGTCTATTTTTCAGATGTGTACAAAGGGAAGATTATAACTAGATAGCATTCAAATCTGAGACTGATAGAACTAATTTACACTCCATCTAAGTGTTCAGGAGACTCTAGTGTCATCTCAGCTTAATGATGGGAATAAAAATGTCTTGAATCTTTGTTATGAACCATATTGCAAAGACAACTCAGTGGCCTATAAACAACATAAAAAAACAAAACAAAACAAAACACAAAACCCTTTTTCCCTATCCTGTATCATCCTTACAACCTCCACCACACACAAGGCCATTGTTGTGGTCATTATCAATCTACCTCTGAGGGTCTTCTTCTTTGTTGCTGACACTTTACCTTTTTTCCAGCATGATGTCTCTTTCCAAGAACCAGTGCCTTCTGGCAACATGCCCAAAGAATGTGAAACAAAATTTTACCATCCATATCTTCTCGAAAACAGATCTGTTTGCTCCTTTGGCACTCCATGGGATATTCAGTACCCTTCTCCAACACCACAGTTCAAATTCTTCTTAAATCTTCCTTATTTATTGTCAACTTTTCTATGCATATGAATATGATGTTATATAATTTCTAAAATTCTGTAGCATCAAAGTGCACATTCTCTATAGGAACATTGCTCTACCCTGAAACCCACAGCGTCCCTTTTCAGCAGGAAGTAGCTAAGAGAATACACCACCCCTTTTCCTTATGAATCAGGATGAAGTCTCTCTCAGGGAGGAGTGATAGGGAATGGCAAAGGACACATTGACAAAGGATATTAATCAGAACTGGCTTTGACAAGCACTGTGGCAATTGGACAATTTAAACAGACATTCAGGGAGGGGAGGGGGAAGAAGAACGAACTGGGGATGAGGGTGGAGAAAACAGTGCAACAATGAATGAATGAAAACCCAAAATCTCTGTAAATGTTCATTAAACCTAATAAAATGTAATAATAATTTTAAAAAAAACACAAAAACAAGCAAAAAAAAAAAAGAACATTGCTCTAATAGTACCTCTAAATAAAATAATTGGCCACACTCAATTTCTCTATCTTGGTCTTGAAAAATCATCTTACTCTTCTTATTTTCTTCCCTTTTCCCTCTTCATCTCCAAGCTGATCCACATCCTGATATTTTTATCAGTTTAGAAAATTGAAAAATTCTCTATAATGCAGTACTCTATTTTCTCACAGGTGCTAATCAAATAGAAAGATTCTGAGTGATTTGTATTAGAAATCCAACAGAGAGCCAGCAATGAATTGGTTACAACTTGATGGTAATGAGAGATTTTGTAAGCAAGGATCCTGGTACTAAGAGGATGCCATTGAGTTTCTAAAGGTTCCCCAGACAAGGATAGAGCTATAATGAAAGTTTTCTGCAATGACAATGCTGTTGTTGATTGCTGTTGAGTCGTGCACAACTCATAGTTACCCCATGAGCAAAATGCCTAAGGCCTTTCTATAACTATCGTTCTCTAAATTCATAGATTTCCCAGAGGCATGTGGTTTAGGAAGTGGATGACACTCCTGCTTCCCAATCTGCCTCAAAACTGGGAGCTCCACCAAACACTGTCTACCAGGGGCAACCATTGTAGCATTTGAGACCCCAATAGTACAAGGTTCAACATCACAGCAAACCCAGATTACCTCAGCACAGCAAATTGACAGAGAGCGTTATATGACTTAGAAGAATGTTCCTCAAAAATATAGTAGCAAAAGATTAAAATACAATTCCTCAGACCTGACTTATTAAATATAAGGGCCCTCCAGGAGGTTTTGTTGACTCTAAACAAGAGGCTTGGCTATGAAACGATCCACACAGATCCTCAACCAAAACAACATTACCATCATACAGAGTCCAAGCATTGGAAGTCCACAATGGAAGACAAAGGCTTGGCAATATATGTTGTTGTTGTTGGTAAGTGCCATCTAGTAGTGACCCTTTAAACAAAAGACTTTAACCTTGTTCTATAACTATTATCCTTACTCTAAGTTCATAGAGTTTCCACAGGCATGTTTTGGAAGTGGATGCCACTCCTGCTTCCAAGCCTGTCTTAATCTCTTAGCTAACCAGATATTGTCAACTATGTGTAACCATTATGGCACTTGACAGACCAATGGCACAACGTTCAGTATCACAGTAATGCAAAATTACCTTAATACAAGGAAATGACAGAAAAGTGCTGTACCACTTAAGAGTGTTCATTTCAAAAAGAATGGTCCAAATGAATTTTAAAAGGCCACAGGTTCATGCATCAGGCTCTCATTGGTTCCCAGCAAGAAGCTTCCAGCCAGCCAAAGATGGTCCATAGCCTTTCAGCACCAATGTAGAAAGACACACCTTCCAAGCTACATGAATTTTAAAAGTCTGCAGGCCCACTCATTGGTTCCCAGCAAGAGGCTTCCGGCCTTCCCACAACCAACACAGAAAGAACATTTTTAAATATTGTTTTTCTGTTTTGAATATAAATACTCTGCTGGCCTGGTGGTAAGAAGATATGCTGTAATCCCAAAAGCACACAGTTTGCTCCGTGAGAGAAGGATGACCAATAACCCCTGTGTGATTTACTGTTTCTGAAAACTTGCTGGAGGGTCAGCCATGTGTCGGTTTGGACTTCACCGAACACGGCAATAGCTTGCCTATTCAGGGGCTGGGAAAATTGTTTCATGATAAAGCCCAGTACTTTAAAAAAAAAAATAGTAATCAGTAAGTAATTTTACCCAGAGGTGAGCACTGTTAACATCAAGAATCTTTCCTACCAAAAAAGCACAAAAAGCCACATATTTTATTCATTTTCCTTTTTAAAAAAATTCATTTTATTTGTGAAGGTTTTTCCAACACTCTTCAGTCCCTTAAAATGTTCATGCTTTTCCAAGCCTTCCCTGACATCAGCCAGGTGCCTAAAAACAGTATTCTCTGTAGCTAACATTTAGTCCTCGGGCCCAATTCAGTAGGTTTTGTTGAGTAAAATGCTTAGCTTTCACTAAGAGCAAATGAAATGAAGAAACCTCTCCAGTTCTGTTAAACCACTTTTGAGGATGTTTTATTGCTTTGTGCATTATGTATTAAAGATCCATGTGATTCTAAGCTTTTGAGAAATGTTTTCTTAATGCGTTAGTGCACTGTCAACAACTAGGTATGGAAATAACTAGAGCCATCTCCACCGGAGCCATCATGCTTCCGTCTTTGTCTTGTTTTTGTTGTTATGTGCCATCGAGTCGTTTGCGACTCATAGCGAACCTATGTACAAGAGCTCTAAATGCTGTTCTATCCTGTGCTAACCTAGCCATCTCAAACACACTCACTCCCACCACTCCACTCACAGAATTGATCCCTCTCATTGAAGGTCTTCCTCTCCTGCGCCGCCCCTCCACTCTTCCAAACATGATGCCCCTCTCCAAGGACCAGTCCCTCCTTGCAACATGCCTAAAGTTTGTCAGACGAAGTTTCAGAATTCTTGACTCCAGGGAAAATTCTGGCTTCACCATCTCCAGGACAAACCTGTTTGTTCTCCTAGCAGTCTATGGTATATTCAATACTCTTCTCCAGCACCACAGCTCAAAGGCATCAATTCTCTTTCTGTCATCCCTATTCACTGTCTAAATGTGATGCATAGCATGTAATTGCAAAGACTTTTGTTTTTATTTTTCCTCATTTTCCCTTTGATACTGCTTTATAATATAAATTTATTAAATATAAATTTGGGTTTTTTCTTTCATAGTTTGTTTCTTAGTTTGCTGTGTTGTTGTTGGGTGTACCCTCTGTACAAGAGATAGAAAGCTTGCCCTGTCCTAAGTCATTGTCGAAGTCTCTCCTGTTATTGAACCCATTGTTGGCAGCCTCGGTACAAATTCAGCTCACTGAGGGTCTTCCTCACTCCTTTTCTGACTCTACTTTTCCAAGCATGATGTCCCTTTCCAAGGACCAGCCTCCTTATAACAATATAAGATGAAGACTCCTTCCCTCTAAGGAGTACCTTCACCTCCTCGAAGGTTTTTTGTTTAGGTTTTATTTATCTTTAGTTGTTTTTTTGTTGTTATGTGCCATGGAGTTGGAGC